GACGCGCTTGATCTTATTATTCGACAGAACCAGCATAAAATCAGGTTCGTCAGAAGTCTTCGTCTTGATTCTCAGGAACTTTCTCAGCTTCTTCCACGTGATGTGCTTCGTCTCCACGCCAGCTGCGTCGACAACTCCCATCGTGAACATTCTCTCCATGACGCTGTCTTTACCCCCAGCACTACTTTTCACCGTAGCGCCTTTGTTTAGAGTCGACCTCTTGTCGCTTCCCTCCGTCGAATCTCCGTTGTCTGATTCGCGGTCGAGTTGCCCGCAAGCAACTCCTGGGGTATCAGTTCTGCACAGTTTCGCCAGCAAGATCAGCGTGGACCTCACATCCGTTTCGAGCGCGGCGCCTCTACACGAATCAGGTCTTTTCGCCGACTAACCTTTCGTTCAGGCAGATCTCCGAAGCCCGGAGCAATCACCTGTCCGCCTTCCTCGATCAGTCCACTGCCTTTACTTGCTTGCTCTGCTCTTCTGGGGTTGCATAGACAACGGCAACGCAAGCGTATGGCTCCTCCAGTCCTTGAACCTTGATGGAAAGACTAGTAGCTCTAGTCCAGCTTCAACCACTTGGTTGTCTCCCAGCTTGATACGTACGTTCTTCCCATCGATTTTTGTTGTTGGGAGCTTATTCTTCTCAACCCAATGCTTGGACACGTACACTGTTGTAGCACCACTGTCCAGTAGCATAGTTGATGTCGAGAAGTTCTTACCGTTAACGCTGATCTCACCACCAACAGAGAACAGCGGATACGACTTGTACACGATAGGGTTTTCACTCAGAACATTGATGCTGATACTCTCCAACGTTAATGCTCCGGTTACTCTCTTGACCACGGCAGGACCCTCATTCACTGTCGCTGTTTCTCGTTTCCCTGCTCGCCTTGTTTCTTCTTCCACGCATGACAGTCGGGCTTGATATGCCCCGGTTTCTTGCAGTAGAAACACGTGCGAGTCGCTTTACCGTATTTTGGTTTCGTGCCGGGTTTGAAGCAACCTTTACAACGTAAAAATTTTCCTTTGTTCCGCCCTCCTTGGCCAGATTCTTGGCCAGCTGAAGTCTTCTTGTTTCTTGGTGAACTTGACGCGTACGAGTTTCATCAACGTAGTGGGTCACCTCATACTTGGCT